CAACTTTCCAACTTGAAACAATAAGAAATTCATTGTTACAAATATAGATGCTCAAAATTATGGACAGAGCCATGCTCTGGTACAGAGGATAGAATCCTTTGCCTTTTCTTGCTTCTGATAGAGATACAGTTGCACAACTTTATTCTTCACTCAATCTCTACCTGTAAGTTCACATGACATATCTTCCCTTAACTGCACACGGCATCCTTCCATGTCATATCATTCCTATATATCCTTTTTAAAAGATGTCATTTAAAGATTCAAGTCATCCAAAAGCCATAGATATTCTTGCCATGGACAGCCACTTCCTTCAGGTCTCTCTTTTTCCATTTGGTATTTTCCAGATTACTTCCCATTGGGGATTCTCTCATTGCCTCCTGTGGTTCAGAGATCCAAGTTAGTTTTCTGCTGCTTCCTGCTGGGTCCCCTCAACTTGGGTCACCCAAAGACCCATCACTAATTACCAGAGACAGCCACCTCTTTTTGACCCTTCTCCCTTGCTTTGGGATTCCCAACATTCCAGCCCATCCCTAACTAGGTACTAAGTTTCTCCAGTTGTCTGACATGACCTGGAGACTTAGGTAGGCTCCCTGCACCCTTTTGTCCCTTCTCCATTTGGGTCACCACAAGACCTGCCACTTCTTGCCTGGGACCAACACTTCTTCCTCAGAATTGCCTTCCTTTTGAACTCTGCAGATCCCAGTTCAATTCTATCTCCATTAGGAACTTCTCCAACTGATAGGAGATTTTCTCTCTCTCTCTCTCTCTCTCTCTCTCTGTCTCTCTCTCTCTGTGCATCCACATTTCTGTTGGATCTTTCTCTCTGGAAAACATTTATTCACATAGTATTTGGTACTATAGTTGTTCAAGAAGAATAGCAGTTCTCCAAACAATTTTCCAAATTGCTTTAGGGACTTCTAAAATTTATTTTTCTTCACATTGGAAAACCACTAACAGTACAGGAGTAGTGATAATTCACATATGAAATCTTTATTGAGTTGCACTGGAAATTCTTAACAACCATTTATAAGAAGAATGGGATGAAATGACATTTTATAATACTGTTGAGCACTTTTTAAAATTAAGAAGTATAATGACATTGACTTGTTTCTAACATTATCTAACAAAACTCTGAAAGATAACCTAGGTGGTAATCGTTCCCACACAAATGTGAAGACCAAGAAATTCTCTATGTGCCCAAAGCCCAAGTTTAAAGTACAACAGTTACAGGGCTGAAGTTGCTTAACCTCACAGGTTAGACTGCAAGTTCTACTTTAATCCATGTTTTTGTCAGCTTATATCCAGAAGCCTAATCACTTCATCACATTGAAGAAACAGAAAAATAGCTGTTCAATTCAGATCCTGAAAGGAAGAAAACTAACCATTTAAAAATAAACATAGACGATTTACTATAGCAAGTAACTACCTCCTAAAGGAAAAGATTTTATGAGCAATGTATTTGACTTGGGAGAGGAGAAATGTCCCTATATTGAGCCCTTAAGTCCTCTTGTCCCACATAATGGGTCAGTGGATTGGACTGTGAATCAAATTTGAGTGTGACAGTTATTTACAAATCATTAAAAGACAGAAATAATCATAAGACTGTGGAAGTTCTCTAGAAAAATCTAAAAACAACAGAAGAAATCAAGACAATAAAACCAGAGAAACTTAAATCCTCTGGCACTTCTCTGATGGAAACCAAAACAGAAACAAAAACAGCCTAATAAGCATCAGATAACATCTAGCAATTGGCAATACAAAATGCTGACCAGGATGCAGATCAACCAGAACTTTTGTTTGTAGCTGATCATGATGGTACAGCTATTTGGAAAGGTGATTTAGCAGTTTGTAACAAAGTGTATCATTGTGTAGCAATCTTGCACATAGCTATTTACTTAAAAGTAGTGAAAACTATCTCCACAAAAACTTGAACATGAATGTTTACAGCTGTTTCAGTTCCAAAAATGGGAAGTAAGCATGATGCATTTTAACAGTTGAGACAAAACACTGCTATACCCATAGGATATTTTTGAGCACTAAAAAGGAGTCATCAAGCCACCGAAAGGCAAGGAAGAAATTGAATTACTAAGTGAGAAACGACATCCCGGAAAACCTACACACTATTGAATTCAACTTAAAGACATTTTAGAACAAGTAAATGATTATTTGAGTACAAGTTGTTTTTTTTTTTCTTTCTTTCTTCTTTTTCTTTTTAACGTGCATGTGTGTTTTGCCTGCATGCATGTGAGTGTACTATGTGCATGCAATGCCCGCAGAGGTGAGAAGAGAACATTGGATTCTTTGTAACTGGAGTCATAGACAGTTGTCAGCCACCAAGTGATAGGTAAAAGTAGCTGATGGAGGAATAGGGTTGGCAAAAGCACCAAGACACAGATAAAACTCTCAGCTGTATAGGGTTTTATTTCTCACGTTCTCTTCTGGCAAGGGAAAATTTCAGCCCACGGATTATGAGCTGGGGCCTTTATAGGGGGGCTTCAGGGGATACAGAAGGCAGGAAGTTTCTTAGAAAAAATTGGGGGGCCAGGAAAGTGGGACTTGTAAAACCCACCCTCTTCTGTCAGCCAGGATCTGGGTCAGGAGGTGTTTTTGTCCTTTTAAGATAAGGGGAAAACTGCTGTGCTGAAGCTGCCCCTGAGGTCTCTGGTTAAAAGGTGAAATCTGTTTATCTTGTCTTTGGAGATCAAAGGCAAAGCAAACTGCCTTTTAGAAGACTCTGCTTCTCTTGACTTCAAAGACCAGGGCGCTCATTTACCCGGTTCCCTTTTCTCAGGGGGCTTGCTTGCAAGGCCATGAGGCCCTGTTGGAGACTGGGAGGGCTGCTGTGGTTTGGATCTGAACCCAGATCCTCTGCAAGAGCAGTCAGTGCTCTGAACCACTGAGCCATCTCTCTAGTCCCTGAGTGTAAGGGTTTTTTAATTTTAATTTTAATTTTTAGAATACTGACCCTACTATGGAAACTTCTGTAATGGTGAACATATGATGTTAGATATTTACTATTCATGATATTCTTCACAATAGAGTGAAATTTGAAGTAAATTACAAATATGAGTTGATAGCAATGTATAGTACTGGTTCTTTATAACAGTTTACCATATTATTGCAACATACTTATGGCAGGGGTAACTGTGTAGGGGATATGTGAGACCTCTGTATTATCTGTTCAAGTTTTTGTAAACTTAAAACTATTGAAATAATAAATTGTGTTAATAACTTTAGAAATTTAGTTGCAATGCAAAATGTTTTATACCACCAATATGAAAATCAAGTCATTTACAAAAAAATTCTAGGATTCTTTTTTAAAATTTTACTTATTATTTTTATTTTATGTGTATGCGTGTATTGTCTGTATGTAGGTAAGTGCACCCATATCATGCAATGCCTGTGGAAGACAATCAAATCCCCTGGAACTGGAGTTATAGACAGTTGTTAGCTGCCATCTGGGCGCTGGGATTCGAACCCGGGTCTTCTTCAAGAACAGCCAGTATTCTTAACCACTGAGGCACCTCTCCAACCCCAAATTCTAGGATTCTTAAACAGATAAAGTACATGTATATTATACAAGGAAAAGTAAAAGCTCCTGTCAACAAATAACAAACCATCATGGTCTTAAGAACATGTTTTTCACACAAACACACGAGTTCTGCAGTTGTTTTTAGTGTTTGGGAATATAACAGAAGTTATCTGCAAATTCTAAGAACCAAGATAAATATTTACAAAACAGAACTAAGATATTTTTATGATTAAATGTACAAAAGAGAAAAGATCACTGATTCAAACATTTTTGTAACTCCTTTTGTATTCATTGCTCATGAATAGGAATGAAGTTGCAAGGCCATCTTTTCTTTTAATAGTCAAGTCTTGCAGAAAGTACAGCATTTGCAGTGGGTAAGATCATATATAACTTACTGCTATAATGATTATGATTACTTGAACTACTTTTAAAAGAAATCAGACATTTTCATTAAGGGAGTCCTTAGCCAATGTCTAGTCTAAAGGATACAAAGTGGTGTTCTAACAGAGCATGTTTCTCCTTTTAGACTATGTGTGGTTTAATAGTGAAGCTCATTTACAGCATAGTGGAACAAGTTCTAGTGAAAAGAAAGTAAGATTTGGAAGATCATTTGGAGAGATACCCAAGCATGTACGAGTAAGGCAAAGTCTCTCAAAACAGTACAATATAATTATGAATAAAAGATGGAAGAGGTAACCAAGATTATAACTAACTGGTTTGGAGATATAAATAGAGGTGGATGGGTAGAGGCAAGTGAAATTTTCCTTTAGTAAACCAAAGCAGATACAGAGAAAGATGAAGAGCTAATGAATTCTAAAACCCTGGGGACATTACTTTGTTCATTCTCCTGCTTAACTGCAACACTATTAATGACCTTTATTTGGACATTGTGTATTATACAACTTGTGATCTGGAACAGAGTGGAGCAAGGTTTCTAAAATAATTATCCCAAGTTGAGTAATGTTTATATTCCTTCTTTATTAGTTGTGTGTTCTTTTATATTCAAGGCTGTTTCAGAGTTATAGGCAAAGACTTTAAATAGATTGTACTTTTCCTTTGTCTTATTAGAATATAGGAAAGTGTTACAAAGCGTTCTTTTATTAGTCTTCTGACCCATGTTGGTAATCATACTCCAGATTCTTTGTCAGTCTTCTCTGCCCCCTCTAAGATTAGTCTTTGCAATATCAACACTACCCTTGTTATAATCAGTGAGTAAAAGAGTTTCTCCTATACTAGTTCCCGTTTGCTCCTGCCTCTTCTTATCTCCCTTATCACTTCTCACTCCTTTACCCCAAACCACTGAATACTATTTGGTTATTTAGAATTTAATTATGGGCTAAAGGGGGTGGGGGGAGGACAGAAGCAAAGGCTGTCTATATCTTTGTTTGATCGAATATGACCCTGTGGCTAAATACAACTGAATCTTTGTATACATATCTGCCCTAATTCTTAGCCTCTCAGAGCTAAAACATACAAAATAATCTCTGCTTCCTCCCTGACTGTAAGAAAAAAAGCTCACAAGAAGCATTCCAACAGTACAAGCAATTCTCTCTCTCTCTCTCTCTCTCTCTCTCTCTCTCTCTCTCTCCCTCCCCCTCCTTTTTATTCCTACAGCTTAAAATCTGTGCTGCTATTTGAAGAGAGCTAAACGAGACCATTTCACTTCTTTGACGGGATCATCTAGACAGGTTGTACTCTTTGTTATTGATATTAACAGTGATATTTTAAATAATTGAAAATATAAAACTCATTTAATATATTACTAAGATGTTAAAATAGAGGGAGAATAAATTCTGCTTGGTATTATGCCTAACCGATAATGTAAATCATTTAAAGCTTTTTAAAAATCAATTATTATAAAAATATTTGTACATGGTTTGTTGTTTAAAGACCTTTAAAATGAAACTGCAGTATTGTAGATACCTGGAAAGTACTGAATATAATTATGTGGGATCTTCAAAATACTATGGCAATTTCTAATGAAAAAAATCAAATAATACAGTGAAAACCCAGGTTCACTGACAGTTCATTGACAGATACATTGTTCATTTTGTATAGAAATCCTTAGTGTATATTAGTTAATCAGAAACACTGTCTAGTAACTAAATATAGCAAACATTTATATTAGGCTTTCATTCCTAATAGAAATAGAAACCCTTTAAAGACTAAGAACATATTGCATATATATTTAGTATATGCTTTTATTCCTACACAACAAGTAAGAATCAGTAAACATCTAAGTGGGGTTTTATTAGTTACTGCTAATGTCAAAACATTGCATGGTTCATACAGACTGGAAAACATAACTTTTTTCAGTGTACTACTTCAGGATGGGGACTTCTGAACCTGAGTATTATGAGACCTTTGGAGACTTCCATGGAGTTCTAATGGATCGACAGTTCACTAAAGATTGGGATGATGTTGAAGCATTCTCTGCAAGGCCAGATGATCTTCTCATTGTTACTTATCCAAAATCTGGTAAGTCTCCTTGCTATGAAAAGTTTGTTGCTTTCACACAGAAATTGTAAATCCATCATGAAACATCAATATTAAACTGTTCACATATTTCACATTCATTTCTATATTAAATAAGAAAATTATAGTAAATTTAGTCCCAAAATAATAAGTAACACATTATAGCTCTATTCCACAGTCTCAAACTCTCTAAGAATACAATCCATATCTTCGCCAGTACTTTGATAAATGGAAATTGATAATTCATTCAATACAATTGAGTCAATCTTTATGCATTGCATGATGAATATTTAAAACTATTGTGTTTACTTTATCTTATTGCTGTGTATATGGATAATAAATATCTTCATGGATAATTGAAAACTCATCCAACTACCTCTTCTTTATTACATATATTTTAACAATCTCACTTTTAAAGCAATTCTTATTTTCTGAGATTAATTCTACTGTTACAAATAGATTTAGAGACTTAACATTACACCTTTGAATAGTCCAACCTAGCATTCTATGTCTTCTTATTAGCATTTGGCATTAAAAATAATTATGTCAGCTAGGTATGGCCATGTGGACCTGCAATCCCAGCACTGAAGAGGCTGAGGCAGGAGAATCATGAATTTGAGACAGGCCTGGGACACATTTGCCTCAAAACAAACAGACACATACACACACCATCAACTATATATTTATATATAAAATGCATAGACATCTATAGCTACATATACATATGTACAAACACATGGACATGCATGCATATACATGTAAATGTGAGAGAGAATGAATACGCTTTGGGGAACTCGTCCCTAAAATCAATCCTCTGTTTCTCTTCTTGGCTCAGCTCAATGGCAATTCAACTTTTAGGTATCTGAAAAGGAAAGTGCAGAGCTAGTCCAGTTTCATTCTTGTGTTCATTTCCACACTACAATCCATCAAAGGGCTTGCCCACTTAGTTTGGTATATCTCTCTCACAGTCAGCATCTTACTGGCTCTCTCACCTCCTTTGCACCACTACTGTCCTTATTCTGTCAAAGGAAGAATTATTCTAAAGATTTTTATTGATAATATTGCCCTATTGCTACATGTATGTTAATGCATTTCCATAAGTTTGATACAAACTGAGATTCTTTAGTATAAATGACAAGGTATTTTAGGTCTGCCATCTACTTACATCTATAACCTCACAAAATGTATTTATCTCTTCAAGCAAATTCTTATTTTAGGCTATGTATTCTGTACCTAATTCTTTTGCTCACCACTATGTAATGCTTTGAGTCCCACACAGAAGTGAAAGAATGGATCTCACACATCTACATGGTAGAGCTCTTTCTATCTCAAATGATAAATTCATGCTAACAGTTCGTTAAGCCTGAGCTCAATTCCCTTGTCTTTATATGGGCACTTTTTTGATAGACATCTCAGCAACAGTAGCAAAGCAGCCACACACTGGCCACTACTTTCTCTGTATTTCTTTGAACTCTGTTCCTGTCTGCATTGCAATTTATTCAGTAAAGAGTTTATTTTGCTATTATTGATTTTTTTTTACTTTTATGAGGACCACCAGAGGTTATAAATGTCATTTACACTTTTCTATAGTCCTTGAACTAGTGCATAGCTGAGGCGCAAGAACTATAGTAGAGAGTGTAGCTGGAAGGCATGCTTGCTTGCATCACTTGTGTCACCTTTTACTCAAGTCTCCTAACTTCTTATTTTAAAAATCGAAATCAAAAGTGTTATCAGTTTTCATGTCACAATTCAACATGGGGAAATCCAGGTACATTAATTAGGCATTATTCATAACTCGATAGAACTATTGAAATTATTTTCAGTGATGTAAGTGTAAATATTCAAGAAAACATTGTTTGAGAATGATGAATATTAGAACACTATTCAAATAATATTGTTATCACCCATGCATGATCATTGGAGTTTCAGATGTGTTAAATTTTCACAGGCACAACATGGGCTAGTGAAATTGTGTATATGATTTATAAAGAGGGTGATGTGGCAAAATGCAAAGAAGATGCAATTTTTAATCGAATACCTTACCTGGAATGCAAAACTCATCATATGATGAATGGTAATTTAATTTAATTCTAAAAAATATTTTTTTTATTATTTTTATGTGTATGAGTGTATTGCCTGCATGTAGGTAAGTGCACCTGTCTCGTACAATGCCCATGGAGGACAGAAGAGGTTGTTGGATCCCCTGGGACTGGAGTTATGGACAGTTGTTAGTTGCCATGTGGGTGCTGGGATTTGAACCCGGGGCTTCTGCAAGAACACCCAGTATTCTTAACCTCTGAGCCATCTCCCCAGCCCCTTAAGTTAATATTTTAAAGCTGTATGCATATATTTTAAGGTATAGCTGTAGATAATGAAATAAAACCAGGGATTTTAAGCAAGAGGGGAAATTGGTGTTATGACTTCTACATAGGCAAAACTGTAGATTTAAATCTGGACTAGTTTAATGGTATGGGATGAGTCTGGACTAGGTGTTCTGAGGAGTTTATTAATATGTTAGGTTTATTTCTCAGTCTTTTGGAGTTGAGAATATTTTAAATTTCGAGAAACTATCCATTAAGTTATCCTTAATTATCCATTAAGGGATATATTCAAAAGCATACTCATGAAAGTTTTGCTTGTGAAAGTATGAATTTAGTTCAACTGATGAAATATTTTCAGTCTTAATTTTTGTCTGTAATTTCATTTATTTGATGATAAGATTATGTCATTATTATGAAGGCAGTCTAGAACCTTACGGTTACCTCTTTTGAAATACTTACATAAATATTTTTCAAAAGTATCTAATTTTTATATTTTTATACCAGGTGTAAGGCAATTAAAAGAAATGGAATCTCCCAGAATAGTGAAAACTCATCTACCAAGTAAGCTGCTTCCAGCATCTTTTTGGGAAAAGAATTGCAAGGTAACCAGAGTTAGATTTTCTTAGAATTGCACTAAACACTAAACTTTAAAAACAAGTTTATTATGATGAAACCAAACGTACCTAAAAGGTACATTATATATAGTTGATTATGGTTTTCATTTAATAATTTAAAAATATTCTATTTATTATTTTTATTTTATGTGTATGGGTGTATTGCCTACATGTGTGCGAGTGCGCCTGTGTCATGCAATGCCCACAGAAATCAGAACAGGGTATTAGATGCCCCTGGAACTGGACAGCTGGTTGCTGCCTTGCAGATGCTGCGAATCGAACCTGGATCCTCTGCAAGAGCTGTCAGTGCTCTTAAATACTGAACCAACCATCTCTTCAGCCCCTAATAGTTAATAATTTTTAACAAATATGAATTAGTTTTAGTATAACCTGTCTAGATTATAATTATAGCTTTGTTTTAAGGATGATTCTGAAAAAACTAAATTCTCTAAGCCTCAGTTTGTGTGGAAAAGATGGATAATGTAGCATCTTCTTAATACAGCTAAAAGAAATTATGCTTGAAACTTGCTTGGCCTCAGGCTTAAAGTATTCAAACACTGTATGAATACCAGCTATTTTTAAGCTTTATTGTATTGTATATTCTCCATTAACAAAATATTATGAGGCATGTGAATGAGTCAGAATAATTTACCGGACAAGTACCATATACTAGTCAATTACCAAGGTAGAGTGACTGCCATATGTATTTCATTTGTTAGTAACACAGTACCACAGATAGGGTAAGCTACAAAAGTTTACCATGGGATGTGGTTATGGTTCAAGTTTGAAATGCTGCTTCCTAGCTGACAAAGTTAAAAGGGAGTACCAGGTTTAGTAAATACATAATGACAGTGGTAAATGATTCAGCATAACTAAGATTCCATGAAAACAAACAAAAACGCATAGAAGTTTAAAAGAATTTGCAGTGGAAAGTGATTTGGGATACAGGTATTCAAATTTTCACTTCAAGAAAATGAATGAACAGAAATTGAGAAAAAAAATCAGAGGAAGAGGTATGAACTTGTAAGTACTACTCTTTCATGTGTAGAAATTTACGACAGACTATGAAATACAAATAATTGTACATATACTATCAACTCTAGTGAGAGTTACTTGAAAAGTTGTATCTTCAGGAAAGAGCAAGATGCTCTTTGAGGGTATCAAAGAGCAGGTGCAGTGAAAAGTGTAGGATATTGAACAATATTTGCTAATTAGTAGGAGTGATAGAAAAGAAATTACAGTCTCTAAGAAGAGGAGGAGGAGAGCAACCCTCATTGAGGACCCTAAGTCAATCTGTGAAATATGAACTGCATTTTGAGATGCAGAGAACATTCTAGAACCAGGGAATAATGGAATTATTATAATAATGGGAGAGGGTGTAGCAAAGGGTAAAATTTCAGAAGTAAATTTGTGAATATAATGGTATAAACTGCATTCAGTTAGTGACTGAAAAGAATTAGGGAGAAATAATTTTGGGAAAATTTTATATGATTAGTGATGGCGTTGAAACAAAACAAGTCTATTTTTATTCTGTTTTGGAGTTCTTTCAAAAAACCCTTAAACATTAGAATTTTTCTTCAAAGAATAAGGAGGAATGTTCCCTTAAAATTGTTCACAAATGAAGAAATAAGTTAGGGCACCTAATCTTATCTTCTTACTTGTGTAAAGTAAATACAAGAAGACAAACCCGTTGATGACACTGATAAAGGACTGGGAAGTCTAAGGGAAAAACATGAAGAGCTACATTGTACATTTGTAACCTTTGCCTTACAGCATTGATTATCAGACCTAGAGGAAACTAGATGCTTGGTCCAAATTATTTATCAGAGAGAAAATTTGAGCTCAAGAAATTGGCCCTTTGCAAAGTTGTTAGAATTTTATAGTTTTGAATTAGCAACTAAACCACAGCTTCCAAATGACTAATTCACAGACCTCTGTGTCCTACATGTAAAACTGAAACTCAGAAGGTCATACTGGAGAGGTTGCAGTTTTCTCAGATCTGCCAATCAGAGGAATTCAGGGAGGGACCAATATTTTCTTAAAGAATGAGGGGGTAAAATCAGGGAGCCTAGCTGAAAAATATTAACAGGATTTTGAGATATGGACTTAAATAGAAGGAAACTGTGGGACATTTTGCCTTAGCATCTGAAGTTATGGTATAATATAAGTAACAGAAAACTCTACTCTCGGCTGAATGATTTGTCAACTCATTCATTTGCATTGATTTGCTTTCAGTACTATATTTATACTGAACTTTCATATGCTTATTTATAAAACAGGACCTTTTGGGACACAAATTACACGATATAGTTCTTATTATACACATGATAGAGAACATTAAATTGGATGGGGGACAGTAAGGGGAAGGACATGTAGGGATGAGATCTAAATACTATCAATTATATTGTATGAAAGTCACAGAAATTCAATAACATTTAAAAAATTGTTAATAACAATTTGATTTCTCAATTTTTGCCAGTGAAAATGTCACAGAAATAAAAGTAGGAACAAATGTTGAGTGATGCTAGGAGCAATACTGCAATTGTTTCCTGAAGAATTTTCTTAGCTGGGTTTGATGGTGAACACCTGTATCCCAGAACTTGAAAGGTTGAGCCACATGGGGATACAGAGCAAGACTATGTCTCAAATTAAAGAAAAGGAGTGTTTTTTTCTGTACAATTTTACATTTTATCTGTTTTCTACAATAATTGTATATTATGGTAGTTGTTGAAACATGAATGTTTAAACCTTGATGACATCATGGCTGAAAATCCATTAATTGCTTTAACACATGATTTCATCCTCTTAGATGATCTATCTTTGTCGCAATGCCAAGGATGTAGCGGTTTCCTATTATTACTTTTTTCTAATGATACCCTCTTACCCAAAGCCTGGATCCTTTTCAGAATTTGTGGAAAAGTTTATGCAAGGACAAGGTAAGAACATGTTATATTCATTAGATTCTTTCCAGAAAATCAAAACAAATGTTATTTCTGTGTAATGGACTATTAAATGAATAAATATAAACAGAAATACAATATAGTATTTTGAAAGGGTGTAGTATTTCTTCATTTAGTTAAAACACAAATCTGAAATGGCTGAGGCTTAGAGAAAAGGAAAGTTTTGTTTGTGAGAAGGGTGGAAAATTGCAGAATCTAGATGCTTCACTACAGTACTGCAAAGAAATGTATAGGCCTGATTCTGAGGGTTGGGGATGGCAGTTTTCCTCTCTAAAATTGGGTCAGTGTTCAGTTCTCTGGTGGGTACCTTCATATCTTCAAATTGTTTCATAACATGTTTGAGCTCCATTGATCAAAGAGGGGCTGTGGGTATTAAAAGAGGTCCATGGATTCCAAGTGAAATACCAGGTGTTAAAGCCATACAGAGGCACTCAAAAGCAGTCTGAGTACCTGAAACCTCTTTCTTATTCCACCTAGTAGACAGATGAAAAAATAATTTGTTATCACTGAACAATAAAGAGGTACTTGATCAGACTTTATGGAACTTTAACTTTAGATCAAAACTAAGACTAGAGCAATTAGTATTTATATCTGAATATTAAAGGAAATAGAATAGCTCAGTGTTCACTAAATAAGGTCATGTGAATGGTATAGGAATAGTTGAAAGGAAAAATAGGAATATTTTATATCTATAGAAGATAATATAGTACAATGTATGTAAAATCTATGTTGCTTGCAGAAAAAACATTTCAAAGTATGGAGAATAAAATAGATGCCTCAAGATTGTTAAGATTCAAACTGAAGAACCGAGAAAAATAATTTTGCATGACTGCTCCACTAATTCGGATCTTATTAATATGACACACATGCACACATGGGGGAGGGAGTTCAGAAAAAATGCTCTCATTGCTCTGATTTGAGTTAACAAGTTTTTCACATTTCCTCCACACCACAAAATGTCATAATTATGAAACTTAAAGCAAGTCTCTACAGGATTACTTAACAATTTTACCTTGCGGCATGTTACTCTTCTTAATCGTCTCTTAGTGTTCATTCCATTATTATCTATGATTTTGTTATTATTTTCCTTGAATGTTTATTTAAAATTCTAAAATGATGACATTGTGTTTTTGCATTTATTTCCCCTAATTTCAGTTCCCTATGGCTCCTGGTATGATCATGTGAAATCTTGGTGGGAAAAGAGTAAGAATCCACGTGTGCTGTTTATTTTCTATGAAGACATGATAGAGGTAAGAAACTGCAGATGTAAAAAATTTAGTACTTTTTGAGGTGTTTTTAGCTCTCTGGATACAACAATATCCCTTGAAATATGTGATAGCAACCACTAGCAATAAATTTAAAAGAGAAAGAACTGAATAATCTAGAATAATTGACAAATTTTAATCTAGTATTAATTTTTCATGTATTTCATGAATACATTTTAAGCCCAAGTCAAAATTTTTTTTTCTCTCTCTCTGTAAATTGGGTGGGGAAACTAAGAGGAGGTACGGATGAGGGAGTAGATATAAACACATCAAATTATATTTATGAAAAATTACAAAACTTCAAAAAAATTTCTGAATAAAATTTTAAAAATACCCTTTATTTCATGAAACAAGAATCAAAATAGCACTATTATTCTTAATAATGATCAGCAAATAATTTTCTTAGAGCACTGTAGTCTGAGACTCTTTCTTTCCTATATGAAATTTGTTGTGCCTATTCCACACATGAAAATGTAGTATCTGCTCTTTCCTCTAACTCCAACACTTGTGAGGTGGGTAAGTGCTCAGTAGAGCAAGCAATGCCTGAGATAAACAGCAAGATCTGTCTCAAAATGACATAAAGTATTAAAAACTGTCTAGGGAAATGGGTCAGTGGATAAAGTCTAGCTATGAAAGCTTGAAGACAAGCACTCACATAGAAACTAGGTAGTCGTGGCCAGCTGCCTATATCCAGGAGCTCTGGAGATGGAAGATGCTAAGGGAAAGCTGGCAGTATAAGGAGCTCAGGGTTCAGCCGGAGACTCTGCTTCAGTAAACAATATGGAGAGTGATAGAGGAAGACAACAGACTTCAAACCTGTGGCTTCCATAAGCACACAAGAGCAGATGGGCTTTCACACATGTGCATGCACTCATGTGAACATACACAACAGACATATACACATGCAAAAATTAATAATTTTCAAAATAAGTGCAAGCAATATATATTACAGAAATCATTTCATTTATATCTTCAAGCAGTTTTTGAAGTTTCTTTTATATCTACTTTTGGATGAAGAAAAATTGTGCTTAGAATGTGTTATTTTCTTCTCTAGAAATTCAATTCCAATATGACTACATTAGAAAAGAAAGAATTTCCTCTTTCATACTAAATATCTATTTATCCATTTTAGCCACTTAGTTGTCACAGCATTTTGTTTCCCTCTAGGATATCAGAAAAGAAGTGATAAAATTGATAGAGTTTCTGGAAAGGAAACCATCAGAGGAGCTTGTGAACAAGATTATACAACATACTTCATTCCAGGAGATGAAGAACAATCCATCTACCAATTACACAACATTGCCAGAGGAAATCATGAGCCATAAAGTATCATCTTTCATGAGAAAAGGTGAGAAAGACGTGATTTGCTGTTGAAAGTTGTCCTGACTTAGGCAAGAATCTAGTGAGGGTTATTCAGGCTACAAGCCCAGTATGTGTTTACTTTAGGAATCTTTTATCTTGAATCTTTTATCCTTAATGTGTTATCAGTTTGTGCATAGGAATCAAGCACAATTTCTTATGCTGCTGAACTGTTACTACTACCATTGAATTGCTATTGCTTGCCTCTTAGTTCAGTTTTTGCAGTGTATTAGGTTAAGCATAACCTTTCAGCACCAGCAGTGACACCACATTTTAATAGCTGTGATTAACTGAGCCTTTGTGTCTCTGTTCTATTCTATATACTTTATACATATTATCTCTTTAATAAATTCTAACCAGAAAAATGGAGCTCTTATCTCATTTTGAGATAAGAAACCAGCTTTGAAAAGTCAGTCAGATTTTCCTTGCACAATTGACAGAAACTTTGAAGACTAAGTGGCTAAGGAAGGAATTCAAACATAGTAGTTCTATTTGTGATAATGCTAAAACACAGTGAGATGAAAATTTATTCCCAAAGAAGCATGACCTGCTGAAATATATTCAATTTATAACCTGAAGGCATAGAGGAAATTTGAAATTCTGGGTCATCCCCTTACAGTAGTATTGGTACAGAGTACTGGAAAGCCGATGTTTGACCAAATTGTCAGAGAAAGGCTTGAATAAACAGCATGAACAACTTTGCTGTTGGATAAGCCAATATTCATACCGTATTTGAGCTGCTCTTCAGATCATCCTCCATCTCCAAATGTTTCCATTCATATAATTGTTAAAAATCACCATGCTTTCAGAGGGCCGCCAGCTGCTGTATCTTCAGACCACACCTGCATTTTAGGGCACTTTTCTGTTTTCTGCTTTTTGAGTTATTTTAGCTATTTAGTGGAAATGCTTTTTGAGCTATTTAGTGGAATGCTTTTTAAGTTATTTAGTGAAAATGCTTGGAGTTCTTCGAGTTGGGTGTAAGCGAACTCCTGAATAACTTAGTAGCTAAGTGACTACCCTGTGAAAAATGAGGCTATCTTACATGATGAGAGAGCACAGGAAGGCTCCTGTCACACTATTATAATATTCCAAGCAGGAAATCCTAGGTCACTACTCCAGCAGTGATGAAGGAACCAACAAATACAAAGAGAGAATAGGAATCTTTGTTAGAAGAAATTGCTGTACACAGAGAGAACAGAACTCGATGAGGAAAAAAAACAACTAATTTTCAACTACTTGCATTTGAGGTGTTTGTAAAACATTCAGGTGGCAATGTTAGGTATCTGGATTTGAGAGTGTTATCAGCACAAAGACAGTATTTAAGAATTTGGGAGCAGGTGTGCGTGGGTCTCATCATAAAGCCCCAAAATATGAGGGAAAATTACATAAGAAAAATTAAGTACGATAGCACAGAAAAGAAAGTAAAAATCAATGAATGAAATTTGCTTTTTTTGAAACCATCAAGACAAACTTACTTATTTAAGATCAAATAATGTAATACTTATGTATTTTATTGGCAAAATTGAAGGTTGCAAGAGAGTTTCATATATTAATTAAAATGATGCAAGATAGAAAAATCATTTGATTCTGACTGGAAGAAATGATGCTTATGATTTTTTAACTGCTTTATTACAGGAATTACAGGAGACTGGAAGAATCACTTCACAGTAGCCCTGAATGAGAAATTTGACATGCACTATGAGCAGCAAATGAAGGACTCTACCCTGAAGTTTAGAACTGAGATCTAAAAAGTTTCCTTTTCTTTGCTTAAATTTCCTTTTAATTTTTGAGCAGTTCATAATTGATTACTATATTTACATACTTTCCACCTTTTTGTCTCCCATTTTCAACCCTTCCCATGTTTCCTAACCCAATTATCTCCTCTCTCTCTATATATATATGTATATATATATATCATCTGTCTATTATCTATCATCTATCATCTGTCTATCTATGTATCTATGTATCTATCATCTATCTATCATCTATCTATCATCTATCTATCTATCTATCTATCTATCTATCTATCATCTATCTATCTATCTATCTATCTAGCGTACTGAGTCCATTTAGTGGTGCTCATATGTACATGTGTTTAAGGCTGACCACTTGGGATTGGATAACCTATCTGGGGGCTCATCCCTGGAGAAAGCTGATTCTCTCTCTCTCAGCACTTGTAGCAATTCATATAGACTGTGGAGCATTGTGAAATTTATTTTATCTGAAATTAAAGCCTCTTCTCTTTATTTTTCTCATCTTGTATAAGAATTTGCTTGGGCTAGTGCACAGTAGTATAAGAATTTGCTTGGGATTAAAATATGCACACTTTTAATCCCAGCTCTTGGGAAGCAGAGGCAGGCAGATATCTGAGATCAAGGTCAGCTTGGCTTACACAGTGAGTTCCAGGCTAATTGGGGCTGCAGGGAGACTATGTCTCACCACAACCCCAAAAGATGATTCTTGTGACCGAGGATTAAATATTTCATTTTTATAGACCTTTTGATAAAAAGGATGTTTTTTTCTGCTATGAAATGTTTTCCTTTGTTATAGCTTTGTCCTCTTCCTACACCTCTGCCTCTTCTCAATCCTCCTTCATGATCATTCTGATTCTTATCTACTTTTGAATCAACTTTATACAAAGCGATGATTTTGTGGAACAATACAGGAATACCCAGATAATTTGTCTCATTAAATTTGAATGAAAAATTAATAAATATTCTCAACTATGTGGTAACTACTTTCTTTTTTAATTTATAGGATATTTAAATTATGCATGTCTATGCATACATTATTTATAATTTACTGTACCTGTAAATAACAGATCAGTAACAAATAAGTAAAATAGTACTGAATTATAAAGTACAGGATAGCGTAAATATCCACAAGTGTCTACTTATATAAATGATTGAATAATAATCAAAAATGGGGAATTGATACATATATTGTTCATAAGAGTTCCAACAACTTATTTGTAGGTCCTCATAACATAGTTCTAGTGTGTGATTCATATAGTGAATGCTTCTATGAATTAAGGAATGGCAAAAGAATAAAGTTTATAGTGAAAATGACTTCAGAGTGGACAAATCTGGCAATGCTACCCTGATCCAGGTGATCCATGTTAAGATCATTAGTGATGAAAATTTCTGATGGTAGGACCTCTGGACACCTGATAAAAATAGCATTTTACTTCTGTGGCCTTTTTTTTTTCCAAACCTTTAACCATTGTCTAATTTAGAGAAAAACATTAGAGACATTCACATTGCAGAAATCTTACACAAAATGTTTTAATACTGAAATCATTCCAGATCTAGCTCTTTTATATTCTCTTATGCTTTGGAATCATTTTTTATTTTTAAGCTTTTGGCTTGTTATGTCTTGGCATGCCCCAGTTCTGGAACTTTCTGTCTTTCTAAAGAATTAGAGTTCCTGTTAATGGAAGAGATCATTCAGGAATCAAACCTCTATGCTTTATATGCTAATTGTTACCTGGCTGACATTGTCTGGAGATTATCATAGTGGGCAGATACCTATTTCTCTCTCTATGTGTTTCTCTCTCCTTAGCTCTGTTTCTCCTCTCTCTCTCTCTCTCTCTCTCTCTCTCTCTTCTCTCTCTCTTCCACTCTTCTTTTCCTACACAGTCTCTCTCTGTGTCTCTGTCTCTGTCTTTTCCTCTCTCTCTTTCTCTCTGTCTCTCCCCTCTCTCTCTCTCTCTCTCTCTCTCTCTCTTCTCTCTCTCCCTCTCTCTCCCTCACAATTTTCACACACACACACACACACACACACACACACATGCATATGCAAGGAGGCACACATCTGCACACACATGCACACATAGAGACTTTAATCTCTCTATATACACTGTAGAAACTACTACAGGTCTATACCAGTGCCTATAATTCTAATAGACTCTGAAACAGCATTGACTTTATATAGCATTCTCAATTTCATACTTTATATGATTGGTTACCATTGTCTTTTAAATACTTCTTTATTTTTGTTTTTGTTTTTGTGTGTAAGTTTTCCTGCATGTATGTAAGCACACTCATATCATGTAATGCCCATGGAAATAAGAAGACAGTGTAGGATCTGAGCCATATCTCCAGCCACAAATACTTCTTATTTAATTCCTAAGTCTCTCCTAAACCTGGAAGTCTGCGATTTGACCAGGGTAGCTGGCCAGTGAGCTCTAGGAGCCTGCATACCTCTGCTTCCCCAGGGCTGGGATGTGAATGCATGCTGCTCTTTTCCATGAGTGCTGAGGTGATTTGTGCAGCAGCAATTTAATGACTAAGCAATCTCTCCAGCCCCCAATGTTTGCAAATTTATCGATGACTGCCAGATTACCAAGGGCTACAGAATAATCATATGGCAATTAAAGTATTTTTTCTAAAAATACAATGCTCATTTTTGAGAAAAACTATGAAAATAACAGGATAAAAGAAATGACAAATCTGATAAAGTTTATATAACAAAACTTACAACTCAAGCTATATTTAATGATAAAATATTTCTTTCATAAACTATATTTCTGATGGTATATTTCTTTCCCATTAAGATCAGAAAGTTCTTTGGTTACATGCCCAGGAGAATAGCTGGGTTATAAGGTGGAATGAGAAAATGGACGTAGATATCCATGGACAGAGATGTCCATCAACAGATGAATGGATACCAAAAATGTGGCTCATTGGCAAAATAGAATGTCTTTCAGTTGTAAAAATGAAATCATGAAATTTGCAGGAAAATGGATGAACTTGGAAAGTACAGTATTAAATGAGTCAGTCAAACTCAGAAAGTAAACAATCCATATGTTCTAACTCATATGAAGATCCTATCCCACACAGTCAGTATACATGTATTTATGGAAGAAGGTTTAAGTGTGGGTACAGTGCAACAATTAGAAAGGAGATCCAGACAGCATAATATGTGATGAGGAAGGATGGACTGCAGACCAAAGGACACATGAGTCATGAAATAAGATATAAAGTTAATTGCTTTCTAGTTTCAACTCTATCACGGTTTTCTTCTTTTATACTGTAGTAGGTAAGTGAATAAAAATACAATTGATAATGAAAGTGTCAAACTCTAAGTGAAACCCCAGTGCTTCAGAATGGCCCTTCTCATAGTATGGAAGTAACTGAGACGTAGAGTTTGGGATTGGGCAAGTGTTTGAGTGGCTTCCTTAAACTAGCTGTGTGATGTTTTTATTTGTGAGGATAAAGTAATTTTGAAAAACAAAATAAACACCAGAAAGGTAAAATGCCTGTTCTCATTATTTGGCCTCAACTACTACTGGAAGTTCTATCCACTGAAATCAGAAATGAGAAAAGTAAAAGGTAGACTTTGAAAAGAAATGAACAAAGCTACTGTGTCTTTCAAACTCTACAACAGCCCCTGTGGCAAAGAAATAAAGTCACCTGCCCAGAGCTAGCAAGGCACTGAGGACAATAAGGGCAGCATTTTGAGGACAAGTCTTCCAGTCCTACTTAAGCCTTTTGCTGAGAGCATTAGAGGATGAATTGTCCACAGTCTCATAAAACTTCCTAAGCTCCAACTACCTTCAACAAATATTTTTGGACTCCCTAATCTCTAGAAACTATATGAAAAACGAAAGTTCATTGCTCTGAGCTATTAAATTTTATGGTAATTTTTTACATTGTAATACATAACACATCCAATTTGCAATGATGCATTTGCAGAGACTAGGTGTATCTGAGTAGAAAATACCAATAAACTACAAATAGTGAAATGGTGATATTAAAATATAAGAGCCTGTAAGACTTTAGCTTCACAAGATGATGAAAGACAGTAATTTTATTTTCTATTTCTCTTCAACTCCAATAAAGTTGATTAAATATATGAAGTCATGGAATTTGTTTTTTTTCCATTGTCATAAACCATACACATGGACTAACAACCAGTGCACAGTAGATTCTGAAGTATTTGATGAATCAATGAAGGAATGAACAAGTCAGTGATTACCAAAGCATATATGTTCACCTTTGTTATTAGCCAGTTCTAGAACACCTTAAAATCGTGCTTACATACTGCCAAATGTGTAATAGAAGAAATCAGGAATCTAAAGTTTCTTTTTAGGTCTTGTTTGTCGGAGCCAGGCTAATACTGATAAAATTCATTGACACAATACCCTTTCCTAGAAACCCATAGTTTTATGCCACGTTTTAAAGCACATCTTTCCACTTGTGTCAAATTTATGCTTCTGTATGCTGTGCCTAGTAGAGTGGCATTTGCATATATGGTACAAATATGCTTCCACACATTCTGCCAAATCATAAAAAAATTTCCTAAAAATGTTTATTTCATAAATATTTATCTATACAAAACATTTTAAATGTTTTTCATCAATGAAATTGGTAGTTCCTTTGAAATAGCATCAGTAATTTGACTTTATAAAAGTAATGCCTCGAGAAATCCTTTAAGTTTGCTTTTTTGGATACTTTCAATTTTCTCACCTAAGACCAAGCAATTTTCTCCATCCCAGTTGCTCTCCTGGGAGGCTGACATCTATGGATTGCATTCACCAGCATCCTGAACACTTTACTTTCTACTTGGCAGGAGATCAGAAGGAAAGAGGAACTTGAAATCCTGTTGATGGCTAATAAATTCCTTACTCATCCTCGAGATCAAATTAGGTGGATTGTATCCATAAGTGATTTGCAGGATGTGACTTATCTCTTAATTCCCCTGTTTTTATAATGATACATTTGCTTCAGTTTTGTCTTATAACCCAAAGTTGTGAGTCTGGAATCCATTTTTACTAGGACAAAAAT